GTGATAGTTTAGTCGATATCCTTATTATGTAATGAAGTATTCCTTACTGTAAACTAAGAACTGTGCGGATAGTAAGGATTTCTTTTTAACCCATGAAACAAATTTTCCCGCAACATCTAAGTTTGACTGGTTTTTTTTTATTAGGAACAGCGTCAGTACTTTATCCATATTAACATAGTTAAACTAACCTTCGTTCCTTTTTCTTTTCTTTGAACAAACAAGTTTGTACTTTTATAATAAGAATATGTATACATTCTTTTAAACTGAGTTTTACTGTGTTTATTGCTATGTGTTTCTTTGTTCTACGTGGTCTAGATGTATAGAGGGAGGTTTGAGATCTCATAAAACATGTTTAAACCCGCCGCATTTTTGCGTCAGGAGCCTCTGGTCTTTGTTAGTCTTGTATGTTTTTTAATTTTAGTTCATTTATATGTTTTGGAGTTAAGTGTGACGTCCATTTTCACAATTTTATTAAGGGGCCAGTGGTGGACCACCTCCGGGTGCGGGATTTTCTCGCTGCGTTAAAGGCCTATTGTGGGCCTTCGGCTGTTTTCCGCTCTTTGGTCGGGTTTTTGTCTCTTTGACCTTTTAACCATTTCCATTCTAAATTTTATATATATTTGGTATCTTCTCCAGGTTAGATCAGCTATCAGAAATCCTTGGGCTCACTGTAATTTCACGGAGTGGGATACAGTGAAGTTTAATTTGTCCTTACAAACAATTGAAGATTTGATTTATCTTCTTAAATTAAATGGAATTGATGAGAGTCAAATCATCAGAGAACTAAACAAATGGAGAACAAATGGTAAATATTAATTACAGTATTTTATTTGAAAATTAAACGTTAAAAAATTTAGATCATCTTTTTTTTTCTTTTTGACTTTTATTTTGTTAATTTTTATTTCGGACGAATCCACTTTCTTATTTAATGTTATAGAATAGATTATTTCATGAAGATTATCTTCTTTAATTTAAAACTTGTTTGTACTTGAGTGTTAACATCTTTTGAATTATGTTACGATTTGAAAATTAAACGTTAAAAGATTTAGATCTTTTTTTTTTTTTCTTTTTGACTTTTACTTTATTAATTTTTATTTTGGACAAATGCACTTTCTTTTAATGTTATAGAACAGATTATTTCATGAAGATTATCTTCTTTAATTTAAAACTTGTTTGTACTTGAGTGTTAACATCTGTTGAATTATGAAACATTTTCGTTCTTCACCGTCTGAAACAGTGTGTCGATTCTTTTTAAAACGTTAACAAATGTCATTAGCTTTAAACAAAAAATCGATGAAAAATTAATTCCATGAGAACTTTCATGAGGAACCGCCGAAAAGAAGACTTTAAATCCAAAGCTTCGTGGTGAGAGGCGAGGTTGCTACACTTCTGGGAATATTTGTAAAAACTCGTTGAGGGGTCCGTCGTTGAACTGCTGCAATGCAATCGATTAACCTTTATCAATTAAATCTACATTTCTGGTGTCTGGTCGACTTAACTTGTAGCATCTACCTATTTGTGTCAGTTCTAAATTTGATTTATTCCTGAAAATGTAAAACAAATATTAGCTACTGTACGTTATAAAGCTACAATCTATTCATTTATACACAAAATGTTTTCACTATAACATACGATTTCATGGAGATGACCGGATAACTGGTAACTATATCAAATAATTTGGACTATTACATTTTTTATTTTCCGTTGAATCCTATCACAAAACGATTCTAAAAATTATTTCGACAAAATCGTGTTAACATAAAACTTGATAATAAATGTAAAATATTCATTTATTATTTACAAATACACGCAATGTGTACCAAATGCTGTTCAGTTTTGATTGGTTATTCCTTTGATAAATGTTATATTATTATTAGGTACAAGCTTCTTCCAAGGTACAACTACTGGTCTTGAATTAGTCGAAAATATTCGGCAGGAGATACAAGCATTAGTGGAATATGCAGATGTTATTTGTAAATCAGGTGATACAGAGTTTTCACGAGTACACACAGAACTCACAGAAATAGGGAAAAAGTTGGGTCTGAATAATGAGAGGATCTTGAAACTTGAAAATGTAAGTTATAATAGCAAAAGAAATATATATTATCAATTACCCTTCAAATGAAATATAGAGTGAGGATCTATAGCTGTAAACGAGTCCTTTCTTGGAATATTAATGTTTGATTCATTGACACATGTTTGAACAAAACTGGTTGCTTGTTTATAAATTCCAGCAAACAACACAATCGTGATGCCTCTGAATACGGCCCGAAATTTTATCATGAGATTTTACTACTATTTGATACATATCATATTGAAAATATTTGGACATTTTTTCAATATATATGAACATCTTCAAGTACAAAAGATGTATAAATGAAGTAAAAGTCTATCTGAAAAGAAGTCTAATCAACTGAAAATCATGTTATTCTTACATCAGGATTTGTTTATGTTTTTGGTGTCAGAAGGTGCACTTTAACTTTGTAGTATTTGTTGTACTTTGAACTTGAAATGATTTGAATGGAGAGTAACATTACTACCGCAAATACTGTATAGTGGGTTATTTTCGCGGGGGGTTATTTTCGCTTATTTGACGGGTACGGAGAAATCACGAAAATGTATGCATACGTTCGGTAATTATTAATAGCTACAACTATCTTTGTAACAACTATGTAAACTATCTTTTTCCCCCGTTTGTCGGATCAATAATGGTTTATGTTAATTTAAACAACATAAATGCAAAGAAAATTGTTCTCTTGCTATCATGTGTTAACTAGTCAATTGCTTACATAATAAAGAAATTGATAATATAAGAGTGTATCAGGTATTTTATCCTTATTATTCATTTCCAAATTATATAAGAGTTGCAAGTCACCCATGATAATTTGTATGATCTAATTAGTACATCAAAGGTCCGGTCAATTTCGTAACTAATCAAAGAGGTACGAAAGATACCAGAGGGACAGTCAAACTCATAGATCGAAAACAAACTGACAACGCCATGGTCAAAAATAAAAGACAAACATACAAATAATAATACAGATGACACAACATAGAAAACTAAAGACTAAGCAACACGAACCTCACCAAAAACTGGGGGTGATCTCATGTGCTCCGGAAGGGTAAGCAGATCCTGCTCCACATGTGGCACCCGTCGTGTTGCTTATGTTGTTACAAATCCGGTAAATAGTCTTATTCGGTAGGTCACATTCGTGAAAAGGGAATGGTATTGTAGTTACGACATAAGGCACATATCCGATATCATCTGTGAAACGGTTATTCCATATCGGTCAACCAACTCGTGATGGCGTCCGTAAAATTTACGAAGGGAAATACAAGCCCGGGAATATCGTATCAATTGGGAGATATATACTCCGTATGCAGGCGCTGCTGGAATGTTGCTACATAGAAATGGAAAGTTCACAATTGGGAAGCTGAAATCATCTCTTTTGTCGTAAAGTTTTGTTTTCAACCGACCCTCATTGTCAATTTCTAGATGTAAGTCAAGATATGAGGCAGACTTAACTGTATCTGTAGTATCCTTTATCTCTAGTTCGATTGGATAGATTCGTTCAATATAGTCACCAAATTTTGTATTATTTAGTGAGAGAACATCATCTATATAGCGGAACGTAAAGTTAAATGATATTGCTAACTTCTTATCTTTCTTCCTAAGAAGTTCCTGTATGAAGTCAGCCTCATAATAATAAAGAAACAAGTCGGCAAGAAGAGGGGCACAATTGGTGCCCATTGGAATTCCAACAGTCTGTTGAAAAACACGTCCTCCAAACGTAACAAATATGTTGTCAATAAAGAAATCAAGCATCTTGATAATGTCAGTTTCAGAGAATTCTTTGTTTGAATCAGAGTGATTCTTTACAAAGTAGGATTTATCCCTCCCCAAGACAAGATACACAGGCAAATTTTGTTCACATAAATTTCACGTGAAAATCACGTGAATTTCACATGAAATTTTTCACGTGAGATTCACCTCAAACGAGCTTATACATGAAACTCACGTGAAATTTTTCACGTGAAACTCACGTTAAATTTACGTGAATTTCACGTGAATCGAGCTTTCACGTGATATTCACGTGAAATTTTTCACATGAAATTAACGTGAATCGAGCTTTCACGTGAAATTCATGATATTTTTCACGTGAAATTAATGTGAATCGAGCTTTCACATTATTTTTTTTAAATGAAATTAAGGTGAATTGAGTCTCAATCACACAAATTTCACAGTATTTGCGCATATTTTAGATAAGTAAATGCTAATCTAGTACACATTCTATTTTGATATATATAAATATTCTTCTTGGTCTTGATTGATTGATTGTTGGTTGCTTAACGTCCAGTGGCAAATATTTCATGCATATTCAGGACGATCTTGGTCTTGAGGATGTATTCATACTTCCATTCTATTTTACTGTCTCTTTGTATCTTAAATTTCTTGGTCCTAAACAATACAAACAATATTTATTCATCAACTCCAACTCACAATATCTTCAATGCAGCAGATAAGATGCAATAAAACCAAGAAGGCAAGCAAATATCCAGGGCACCATAGTTCACTCCTAAAACATTTTTTGTTGTATTCAAGTCTCAATATTTTTTTTAATTTGATGTATGGAAGGTGATTCATTTATAGAAGATGTATGCACTGATGTATATTTCATTTTTAATATGTACATGTGTATGTATAAGTCTTTTTGTGTTCATCAGTTTTGAGACATTCCAATCACATTATGGAAAAGTCTTACTTGCAAAAGATGCCAATTCTTCTTATGAGAGTTTTGAAGAAAAAAGGTAGTTCACCCTGCCACATACTCATGTACTCTGATCAATTAAACAGATCATGACATATTGTTTAGACACCTGTCTATTGTTGAGGACTGTTTGTTAGCACCTTAATGCCTTTCATGTGTTTTTGTTGTTGTGTTACTGTCTGATTGATTTATACCTCATATCTCATTGTATTAATAAACTGAAATAGAAAGTTCTGTGAAATATATTTGATATACCATATTGAAAGTCTTGCTGTTATTTACAACCATTTCCTTCTTATTTCATATATGGTTTTCAGTTTTTCATATTAACACTGAGCTTAAGGCTAAGTCAAAAAGAAAATAAATGTTGACAAACAACAGGCATATACCATTAAAAGATCTCAAAGTTTGGCTGCACAATAAGCTAAAAATTCTTGTTATTTAAAATATTTATATAAAATTCATTTTAAAACAAGCATTTTCCATTTTTAGACAGTAACTGTCATGTTGACACAATAATTTGAATATGAATTGTATTATATGCTGAAAGTACTTGTGGTTGAAAAAAAATATACACAATATTTAATTCCAGGTGTTTAGATTTCTAGAATGCACCACTCCAATATCATGACTACATGTTAGTAATGTTTAAATGTTCTCTCCTGCATGTAATTGCTACATGTATTTGTACACAAGGCTTCCTTCATACATTTGCACTTATCCTTCTAAGATGTTGCTTCAATGATAAAATCCTGTAGTTGCATAATCAGCCATAAACTCTTGGAATACATTTGCTGTAATAAAAAAAAACCCAGCATATATTATTTTGTAAAATATACATCAAATTAAATATTGCCTTACCATTCAAGCAAAAATGATAACATCAATTTAATATCCAAACTTACCGGGTACATATATATATATACTTTTATAAATTGTGACTTGGATGGAGAGTTGTCTCATTGGCACTCATACCACATCTTCTTATATCTATGTATATAATCATACATGTATATTGTGTGTCGGATAAACTGGAGTGGAATATTAATAGTTGTTGTTTGTTGCTGCACTACTTTTTGATTACCTCTGCTATGGAGGTTGTGGAGGTTTATAATGGTTGAAATTTGCCATGAAACCTGGAATTTGTAAACATTACAGATGAAAATCAAAATGCTGTGATCATTCTGATGATATAAACCTATTTAATATTAATTTCATAAAATTCTGGTAAGAATTGTACACAAGAGCCCTAACAATGCAATTTTCCAAATAATTAATGTTTCCAAGGGGCATAACCCTTTTAAAAATGATTGATTGGCACTGATTTTAAAACTTGTCAGACATTGTTGATATAACCAATCAAAATAAGTTTCCTAAAAATTTGACAAGAATTGTACAAGACATGCAAGTGAGAGCGCTTATAAGGCCAAAGGGATAGATGGACTCCAGGTATTTTTATGTCCCCACTGTTTTATGGTGCTTGTCCTAAAGATATAAGAATAATTATAAGTTTACGATAAGTATCAAATAAACTTAACATTACCAATGATTCATGAAAATATACTGTCAAGCAAATATTAAGGTCAAGTTCAGATAAACCAAGCCAGACAGACATGTGCACCTTACAACATGTACAATTATTGCATACACCAAACTAGAGGCTCCAAGGAGCCTGTATCTCTCACCTTATATTTTTATTTACAATTGATGCATGAACTAATGCAACCGTTATACTTTTGCTTTAGTTTCAGAGATATAAGTCAAAAACTGCATTTTCCCTCTATGTTCTATTTTTAGCCATATCTGCCATGTTTTTAAAAACTAGATACCCTAATGATGATTGTGGCAAAGTTTGGTTTATTTGTCTCTGTTGTTTCAGGAGAAGACTTTTGTAAATTAAAAAAAATTACGAAAAATTGTTAAATTTGACTTTAAAGGGCAATAACTCCTTATCAGGTCAATTGACCATTTTGAAAATAAATAACTCAGCCTTGATAATAATAAAAATGAATGGTTTGTTCTGTGGTAGTTTGAAAATAAATAACCTGACTTACAATGTATTGAAAATAACTTGGCAGGTCTTTTAAGCCATTTTATAAATGCTATTTTGAAGTATGAGATGGCACCAGATTCTTCCAAAATTCGTTTTTTTTATATTTTTTTCGGGAAAAACTTCCCAGATCTTTTAATAATATAAATATTAATGTATTTGAAATGTTTGAAAATGGGTTTCATTTCACTTGAGGTATATTGTCTCATGAACATTTACCTCACTTTAATTACAGGGCCATAACTACATTGAGGCAAATGCCTCATGTTGGAATTTTCAAAACAAAAGCTTGTCTTCATATCAAATTGTTTTCACGGCAAGTGTCTTGCAAGAAGCAAGTTCTGTTCACCCTCTGACATAGCCTCTGTTTTTTGAGATCCATTTTTCTCATTTATTTTTATTTTTCATTGTTGATTGTCTATAATGTTTGTCGTTTTGTGTTTTATCTGTTCCCGGGTTTGTCTTTTGTTCATTGATTGCCCTTCTTTATGACTATTCTATTAGTGTTGCATTCTATTTGTAATTTAGTAATTATGTTTTAAACTTCGAGTTTTATTATATTTAAGGACCTTTTGTCTATTACAAACTACTTTAAATTGTATCCCAGTTAGGAAGTACATCAAGTTGTAATTGAAATGTGTTATAAAAACTGACTTGACATAGTTATATCAATGATAATCAGCCCCCTCTTACCTTAATTTGAAAAAAACATAATTGACAGGTATAAAAGGTTTTTCTGCAAACGGAAACATTTTTTGCTTTGTCCTACATATTGGTCTTTTGATGTTGTCCCTAAAAACTAAAAGTCTTACACTGAATCTATATATTTTGCTTTGAGACCAGAATATTGTCAAACAAGAGGCTGTCAGAGAGACAGCAAACCAGATTTTCCTGCAGAGGTCGAACCCTGAACATTTGAGCAAGTATGGACACTACATTTAAACTTGAAACAGCTCTGAATTTGGATTGTGATTGAATATTTGACAAATCATAGGTTTGTGACACAAAATGAATGTAGTCAAAAAACTGATATATTTGAAATTGGACATTTAAATACCTATTATGGTCCAATATCCAAAATCTAAGTACATATTAGAATCAGCATATCAAAGAACCCCTAAATTCAATTTTTGATGAAATCAGACAAAAGTTTAATCTAGGACCCTTTGGACCTCAATGTGGACCAATTTGATAAGGAGCCCACAATCCAAAATCTCTCAATATATGGTTAGATTCAGCATTTCAAAGAACCCCATAAATTCAATTTTTGTTGAATCAAACAAAGTTTAATTTTGGACCCTGATTTGGACCAACTTGAAAACTGGGCCTAAAAATCTAATATTAAATAGAGTTTAGATTCAGCATTTGAAAGAACCCTATATATATATTTAATTTATGTTGAAATGAAACACAGGTTAATTTTATCCATAATATTTTCTGTGCAAATGGAAATAACTCAAACTGGATAAATAGTTCTCTAAAATAAGATATGAAGCAATTTTTCAAATTATAATCAATAATATAATAACAACAACCAGTGATGACTAAGTTCTCTAAAATTAGATATGATTTATCACTCAAACATTGTTAGAAACAGCATATCAAAGAACCAAAGAATTCAATTTTTGATGAAATTAAACAAAAGTTTAATTTAAGACCCTTTGGACCTCAATGTGGTATTATCTTATTAATAATGAAAAGCTCGACCGTTTACAAGTTCTTAAACAGGAGGGGGGTGGGGGTGACCAAAGGGGACTCACCTTATATTTCATTTGATTGGTTTTATTGTCCCATACAAGAATATATATGGTTTCGGGTTGGAGATCTTGACAATTTACAAGTTTTCAAAAGAAGGGGGTGGGGGTTACCCCCGAGGACTTTCCCTCAATTTCATTTGATTTGTTTTATTGTCCCATTCAAGAATATATATGGTTTAGGGGTGGGGATCTCGACCGTTTACAAGTTATCAAAAAGAAGGGGGGTGGGGGTTACCCCCATGGACTTTCCCTATATTTCATTTGATTTGTTTTATTGTCCCATACAAGAATATATATGAATTAGGGGTGGGGATCTCGACCGTTTACAAGTTCTCAAACAGGAGGAGGTGGGGTGACCCCAGGGGACTGGCCTTTTATTTCATTTGATTTGTTTTATTGTCCCATACAAGAACATATATGGTTTCGGGGCGGGGATCCTGACTGTTTACAAGTTTTCAAAAAAAGGGGGGGTGGACGACGACAACGTGATACCAATATACGATTTTTAATTTTTGCGGTCGTATAAAAACCTTAACTTTTTTTCAAGCAGTCGCTGAACCATTAAAATGTGATCTAACATGGCCAACCAATGCAACATATGAAGGACAGAAACATTGTAACAAAAGGCATCGGTATACAATTTATGAAACATCCAAGTCTACTACCCTATGAAATATACATTGTAAAGCTTAATAATACAAATAGTAAAACCCAACAGCCACTACCATATGCATGGACTTCCCTTTTTTGAAATTGCCTTGGAATTCAGTATTTTCATTATTGTTATACCATTAGGACTATTAATACTGTAACAAATATATATACATACCAGTTACATGTACATGTACTGTAGCTATAGGATCTTCTCTACGTCTTATCCCATCATTAATCATGTTAATTTCATTGAAACATATGATGTGTTTTACTTTTATTCCACTGACATCTGAGGAGCTAATTCTGAAAATTTAAATTCCTGTGATTATCATGTAAAACACCTGAACCTGATGCACTGCTTTTCGATAAAAATAAATTGGCAATACAGTTCTCTCTTGGTCATGTTGGTGAATATTTCAAAAAAAATATTTAACAAGAGAGAAAATAAGTGTCAGATTTTTTAAAAATTTATATTACCAATACTGGTAATTAGAACGTCACTAGTTTTCTGATTTGAATTGACATTAATTGTTGCTCCTTTTTACAGGATCTTTTACAGCTGACACAACAGTATGGTTTTGATCATTGTTGAAGATCATACAGTGACCTAAAATTTCTAACATCCCCTTCATTTCGACTGGCAGAAAGTTTTCTCATTGGCAATCCTACCCATCTCCTTATTTTTAAAATACTGAATATTTTCAATCTGTGACAATAAAATTTTATTGATTTAATATAAAGGTATTCTGATCAACACTATGAGGCAATGTTAAAAACACTCTGTCATTGTCAGCGATCAAATTTATTTTAACTCCAATGGCAATGTATTTGTGCAAGTCTCAAAACTAAGAACTGTGCATGTACATGATGTACCACAATCTGAATTCATACATATACAATGTACTTAATAAATCAGTGAGACATAAAATTCGTAAGGGTTCCGCGGAACCCAGTGTCTCGCCTACTTTTGCTGTAAATCGCAGGCTAAACGAAAATGAGATGAGGAAAAAATTTAATAAAAATATTCCTCTCAATACAATTTTTTTATTGTAAGAAGCTTCTATCCAAGTTTGGTAAAAATCCAGGATAGTTTATGAATCTAATAAATGTTTTAAAAAATTTAACTGCAGACTGTATGTAATGTGAACTGGAAGAAAAACTAAGTCCATTTATAAGTAAAATATGGATAAACAAGTACAAAATTTTAATAAAAATTTCCTTCTAGATACTAGCTTTTGATCATAAACAAACTTCTGTCTATGTTTGGTACAAATCCAGGATAGGTTAAGAAAGTTATTAAAATTTTAAAACTTTAACCACAGAGTGAATGTAATGTTTCCTGGCAGAAAAAATAAGTCCATTTATAAGTAAAATATGGAAAAACAGGATTTTTTTTTTAAATTTACTTCTGGATACTATCTTATGATCATGAACAAGCTTCTGTCCAAGTTTGGTAGAAATCCAGGATAGTTTGAGAAAGTTATTAAAATTTTAAAAACTTTAACCACAGAGTGAATGTAATGTTTCCTGGCAGAAAAAATAAGTCCATTTATAAGTAAAATATGGAAAAACAGGAATTTTTTTTTTAAAACATTTACTTCTGGATACTATCTTATGATCATAAACAAGCTTCTGTCCAAGTTTGGTAAAAATCCAGGATAGTTTAAGGAAGTTATTAAAATTTCAAAAAATTTAACCACAGAGTGAATATTTGTGGACACCGCCGCCACCGACGACGGAATGTAGGATCGCTATGTCTCGCTTTTTCGACAAAAGTCGAAGGCTCGACAAAAATGTAGGTCAAAAAGATATCATGCTGCATCATAATTTATACAATGCAAGTCATAATCATGTACATAATATTTGAACTTTATAATAGTAAAGAATAGATAGTCTGACCAGTAATAAAGCCACACAACACTGTGTGACAACAGTGAAATAGAATCATGTGCAAAACAGTGTAGCCGAGACCATTGATTGGCGCGCTAAAATATCCCATTGACATCATTTAGAACAATAAAGAATAAAATGCTCCGATGGGGCGCAGCTTGATACGACCGCAGAGGTCGAACCCTGAAGAGTTGGGGCAAGTATGGACACAACATTCAAGCTTGATACAGCACTAAATTTGGATTGTAATTAAATATTTTACACAGCATAGGTTTCTGACACAGAATGAATGTGGTCTAAGAACTTAAAAATTTTTAATTAACCTATTCAAACCATATCATTATTATTTGCTTTTATATATAAATCAGATTTAACCAATTTAAAATGGAAAATTTTAAAGAAAAAAAAGGAAACAAAAATCTCCCCCCAAATATTTTGAATCCCCTTATGATTCATCACCCCCAAACTCAATCCCAGCCTTCCTTTTGTGGTATGGTACCTTGCAGTACAATTTCAGAGAGATCCATACACTAACACACAAGTTATTGTCTGGGAACTAGAAAAATGCTTGTTTTTTGGCCCCTTTTTGGCCCCTAATTCCTAAATGTTTAGGGCAATTACCCCAAAACTCAAACCCAGCTTTCCCTTTGTGATATGGAACCTTGTAGTACAATTTCATAAAGATCCATACACTTACACACAAGTTATTGTCATGAAACTAGAGAAATGCTTGTTTTTTGCCCCTTTTTGGCCCCTAATTCCTAAAATTTGGAGGCAATTACCCCCAAAATTCAACGTCATACCAATATACAAATTAAATTTAAATTTTTTGCCCTTTCGACCTTTCATATATGCATGGGTTCAAAATAGTGCAAGTCTGAGGTCCGGGACCTGTCTTTTCTAGGACATGTAGGAGGGGACTTATTTTTAGATTACAAGTCATGAACCTACCATTCTTCATACAGATCAGATGCTTTAAACATGGCCCCTGCCTTTATGAAGACAAATTTGAAAACCAGACCCAAAATTAAAAATCCAAATATATATACACGGTTAGATTCTGCATATAAAAAAAAAAATCAATAATTCAATTTTTGATGGCATCCAACAAAGTTTAAGTTTTGACAATTTAGATCACAATGTGGACCAATTAACAGTCAGGGCCCGGTTGTTCTGAAATAACTGATTTGTGAATCACTCATTTAAGTACAAAAATGTTGCAAATAAGAAATTTTGTCAATTTGTAGTTTTACCAACATTTTAAACATACAGTTTTAGTTTATATCTAATTATCATGATTATTAGTAAAATTGAAATAAATGAACTTTCCTTTCTTAACAAATAATAAAATTTTACTGTTCACCATCAAAATTTCACTGTTCGGGGGTGTTGAAATTAGGGGGGGGGGGGTAATTAAAATAATAATAATTAAAGAAGTGATTTTTTTAAATAAATAGAGGTATGATACTTAAACAAGTGATTTTCATGTCAATATCCCAGATTCAGTACAAGGTTATCACTTGACATGACTGGACAGTCTATAAACACAGATGTTGGTTCTTGTAATTTTAGCAACATAATAAGCCCATGTATTATACATTTAAAGCTACAATAAATGAAATCACTTAGTTTAGTGATTTATTTGTACATGTACAACTTAAATTGGTGATTATTGAAGAGTGACAACTATTACTTCCAACATTTGTGGACATAATGTCACTTGAATCAGTGATTTAGAAAATCACTCATTAAAGTAAGTCCCTTGACTGATTAAAAACAGATCCAAATATTCAAACTCTAAAATACAAGATAAGTTTAATTCAGCATATTAAAGTACCTGAAAAATTCAAGACTTTGCATTCAACTTCATTGAAATTGGTCAAGAAATAGGTAACTTGTACAGTGTATTAGAAAAGTATTGTTTAGGCCCCTTAGGCCAGGGCTTTCTTATTTGTTGGTTTACGGATCCGCTGACCCTATTTTTCTGATTTGCAGAATAAAAATAAAATTGACATTTCATGCTTTTTATTCCCGCTGACCCTTACAAAAACCTTAATAAAACCTTATCCCTGAAATATAAATACAAATTTTCTTTTTTTATGAAATGCATCAAACACTAAAAGAATTGATAACACATTGTGTCGTATCTAAAAATAGACAAGTCAATCATAATTGACCTTAAAATGTTTGCGCAAATAATTTTACAGAGGAGCGAAACCTGTGTTTAAAACCAATTACAATAAGTTTGTTTCCCTTTTTTTTTTCATAAATCTGTAAGATGTATCATCTCATAGATGAAATGGACCTGTCAAAATGTGGAAGATTTCAAGTTAAATTATAGATATTCACAAACAATTTGGAATTTTCTTGTTTCATAGATAATAAAAAAAAAACGTCCATTTGGATATAAAAAATTGGAATGCATGACAACTCATGAATCTGATATCTTCGTCTTTCCAGTGGACAAGTCTGTTATGTTTTTGACAAGAATGGTAAAGCTTATTTTCGTACGATGTGTTTGCAATTTTCATGTATTAGTTTTCGCGCTTGAAAATCATTATTCACCAATAGAAAATGAAAGGATATGGAGTAAATATACATGGGACAAAATCGCACACAATACATAGAAAACATAGAAAATTATCAATGAACAGGGCTTTTATTCCTGTTCTTCATCTTGACAGTTGATGTATTGTCTTCCTGAAATTGGTGGATCTGTTTTTTCTTGTTCATGAAATAACGATTTAATTTGTCTATGTCCTTGGACATAACCCACCTTTTTGGAAATTGTATGACCTTGGACATAACCCCCCTATTTGGAAATTGTATGATGATGGCATGCATTTTATCCTGCAATCAGCTAACTAATGTACAAATAACAGGTACACAAATAAATTTTTGCTTTATTTGTACTTGTACAAGTGAAGTCTCCTGTTACCCCGCTTCCACGTTGAGCAAGCGGTTATGTGGATATTTCTTTTTGCGTACCAGTTCATTTTGGGGTCCTCTTCGCGGTCCGTGTTCAAACTATGTCGATTTCTTTGAATAATTAGAGACAATGATTTAGATTTTAACAACTAAAGTTTCAAGTTTTGGGCGTAAATTTCAGGATAAAAACAATATATGTACATTGTCGGAAAATATAAAATTTATTTGTACTCGCTACGAAACAGGAGAAAAGCTTGGCGAGCCTCGCTTTTCGTCCTGTTTCTAAAGCTTATACAAATAAATTATATATTTTCCGACAATGTACATATATTGTATATTTATGTTTATAACAGCTGAGCAATAATTAATCATGGAACTAGAATTTAAGCGATGACAAGATAGCAAACCAAACATTTTGTTAGTAAGGTGAAATATATTTTTTCTGTCTTGAAAGATATTATTTTTCTTTTTATTCTCGACCGACCGAACCAGCAAATTAAAAAACCCTGGCCTTACCATGCTAACTCCTGAATGGTTAAGGCCATAACCTTCCAAAATCAATCCCAACCTTCCTTTTTTTGGTATGAACCTTGAAGTTCAATTTCATAGAGATCCATAGAAATGTATGGGATTTGCTCATAATTGAAGGCCGTACCGTGACCTGTAGCTATTTACTTCTATGTCATTTGATCTCGGATGGAGAGTTGTCTAATTGGCAATTATACCACATCTTCTTATTTTTATATTATATTCAAATTAATGTATGGAAACCAGAAAATCCTAGTTTTTGGGCCCTAAATTCATTATTGTATATGCAACTTGTCATGGTAAAACTATACAACAATCATGATTCATTACAATTACCAAATCAATATCTCCAAGTATAACAAACAAAGAAAGTGAAAAACAGATTATTTGCCTGAATTTTCCAAGTCCAAGGACCATAGCTAATCTGCTATGCATAATGGCATTAATGCAAAGAAAAACATCTCAACAGAATAAATATTGAACTTGATCTGTAAATTTGTCATGGTAAAACTATATACAATGTATAAATATCAAATCAATATCGAGTTTCTTGTTTTGTATCAACTTTTGAGTATACATGTGTGTGTGTCTAATGAGTGTTTATTTTAAACGGAGTTTTACAACTGTGAACTGATCAGGTCAAAAGTTGAAAAACATTATCACTATTTCTGTTTATTTCTGCACTATTAAATCATTTATTTGAGTTACCTGTATTATTTTCGCGAGTATCTATGCGTTCATAGCTCCTTGATTGTGTTTGTCTCGTTAAATAAACAGAAACAAGTACTTGTTCAAGTTGTTGTCAGTTGGCTACCGGCGTCTTCTTTGCATCATTCATCTGAATCTTTCAAGCGTTTTAAAAACCGATCTCCGGTCCCGGATATCGTCACGAAGAATAGTTATCCATGTGCAAATAGGTACATGCTGGTTTCCCCATTCAATAGACCAATATACAATATTTCTTAGCATAATCAGCTTCCCGACTTTACTGACTCAATTCAGTTTTAAAATGATATTTACTGCTTAAAGTCCTGACTAAGTAAGACATATCAGAGACATATAATACAACGTATTATATGTCTCTGGACATATAAATGAACAAATAACAAATTCTTTTGTTTACAAGCATCCTTTACATAGGAGCACCCCTTTAGTAGAGCATAAAGTTTAACCCTTAAAACTATTTGATATATTTTAATATAATATAAACTATATTGTTTGATATAATTTCAATGAAGTTATTTCATTTAGTTGAAGAATATATATGTTTAATCCAATTAACAGCCTGTCTAATTGGCAATCATACCCTCACATTTATTACAGCTAAATAATATTAGAGACATTATTTAGTATATATGCCTCTGGTAATAATTTAATGTCAATCAATAATTTTCGATAACATACATAGCACATTAATGCATTTGCCTGGGACACTATATAGGACTTTAAATATGTTTATTATCTATAAATTTTAAAAGATAATTAAAAATATTTGAAAATTATACAGCATTTTTAGGTGTAAAATTCCTGGTTTTACATATTTCAAGACTAGTTTTTTTTTAATAAATAATATCAGATCTATCAAAGTTGTAAATTTAAACAACCATTTGCTATAAATTAACAAATTATTTCAGACAATCCTTAATTATCTTCTTAAAACATACTTATTAATAAGCCAAATAAAAATATACATTGGCGGATCCAGAACTTTTCATAGGGTGGGGGGCACTAACTGACCTAAGGGGGGGCCGCTCCAGTCATGCTTCAGTGATTCCCTATATAATCAACCAAAATTTTTCCCACAAAAGGGGGGGGGGGTGGCAGAGCCCCCTGGATTCGCCTATGATATATGTGTGGTTCCACTCACCGTTACCCTAACTACCCTACTTTTTAGTCTCAATAATAGCCTACCCTAAAGATTTTTTTGTAATTTTTCATTAAGCACTGTTAAGTCAGAATGTTACTCTCATAGACTCAATGTAAAAAAAAACACAACATAAAATTAGAATAAATCCCTACCTAGCTACTACTGAAATTATAAAATTAATATTTAGTTTAAAATTTTTCCCATTGATTGACAAACCCTGACAACTCATTAACTCAAAAGGAAAAATTGAGAAATCTTGATCATTATAAAAAGGTTTATAAAATATTTTGAAGTGTACCAACACATAAATTGCAATCCAGTTGATACACATGCAATCCCTGAGAGAAGATATTTTCTTTTTTCTTCCTTTTTTTTAGATGAGGGAGTAGTTAGCATTTACCGCTTTTGTAATACTCATTAAATCAAACATTTTTCATATTTCTGAAAGCAAAGCAGTTTTAAAAATATACTGCACTTCCAATATATATACTTTGATAAACATTCAATTTTACATTTATTGACAACATTTGGCCCAATAAAATTCTTTTCAGCACACTTACATATTTTTATTCATATGTCCTATTGTTAAACTAATGTGTGGTTCAAAGCTCAAAATTGTACTTGACTTATAAGTTTGGGGAAAAGTTTAATACACAGCAAAAAAGGGAGATAACTCAGGTTTTGAAGTAACTGATATTCAATTCATATTCATTATCATTTTTTTTCTTTGCAATTATGGAAAGTAATGGATCTTAATTACAGTAACAGGAATCTATTTCTTAAGCTGGATTTACCTCCCATATTTTATGAGAGGACAAAAACAAAGAAAACTTTCAATGTGTGAAAGAAATTAAGTTTACTGATAACTAATAATAGAAATATACTAGCTGATAAATCAATATTAGCCCATCAATATAATCTAGGTATCTAGGAATTTGAAATCAAAGATACAAATTCTACCCTTATTGCTCTACTAGAGATTAATATAAACAGTGACAGAAAATACAACTCAAAACCAACACTGATCTTTTTGTAGTTGCATCTAATCCAAGGGAGATAATTCATGTGAAATAAAAAGATAAATATTAATCATTTGATGGTTATATGTCCCCCTTTTATGTAAATTATATTAAAATGCTAGTAAAAATATTCTCCTGAGTATGTTTTTAAAATGTTTATTGTGAAATTTTGTTAGAATTTGTTAATTTTTGTATTTCAAACAAATAAAATATCTATATTCTTATTCTAATTCTTCTTCAATAATTATTTTTACATTTTGGCGATTATGTCAAAATGGCAATAATTAGTGCACACACTTAATTATTTTAAACCGTGATTTTATCTTGTGCAAAACCAACCACGTAAGCACATTATATAAAAAATTAGCCTCAGTCAGATCAAATGAATTTCACGTGAATTTCACATTAGTCAAATCATGTGAAATTCACGTGAGTCAAATCATGTGAATTTCATGTGAGTGAGATCACGTGAATTTCACGTGAAAAAAAGTTTATGTGAAATTCACATGAATTTCACATGAGTTTCACGTTAACAAGTTCACGTTAAATTCACGTAAGTCAGATCATGTGAGTTTCACGTGAATTTCATGTGAATTTCACGTGAAAACTGTTCACGTGAAATTCACATTAAAAATTCACGTGATATTCATGTGAGCAAAAATTCACGTGAAATTCATGTGAAACTCACGTGAATTTTACGTGACTTTCACGTGAAATGAGACTCACGTGAAATTCACGTGAACAAAATTTGCCTGTGTACTTGTATCTACGTTCGCCATTCTTTTTAATGAAACAAAGTAATACAAACTCTTTCAATTTGTCTTTTAGTTTGGAATGGGGAATACTTGTGTAAAGTGTAGAAAAGTCAAATGTTTTAATACTATTGCAAGATGAGAGAGTCTTAGATGGTATGCACTCTAAAAGATCAACCGTAATCTAAATACCTGTATTCTATTGATTAACTTTATCAAAATATAATCAATAAATAAGGCGTCATGCAGTTAAAAGAATCATTTAACCATAACACGTGTTAACTGCAACCATTTCAGTATCCGCCAAAATATTTAATTGGGATTAAAATATCCACCTGAATAAAAACCGTCAAAATTTTTCGTATACTTTGTTGCCCCTTAATCGCGAATTTTTATACCCGCAAAAAAAAAAAAAAACCCGGTATGCGGTATATCGAAATTGAAAGTTTGTCGGTGGTTATTTACTTTTAATCAAAAGCTGTTGCACTTAATTTGCATTATTAAAAAGGATAGATAGCCTTATTCGTTTCGAATTCTAATATAGAAAACGCTATATATTTTACAGTACAAATTGTATGACATTTTCTGCATACATTAAGGCGACATTTAAGTGAAAGATAAAGCATATGCATTGACTAAATTATCATTGATTTTTCTGTTTACATTTGCATTTCTGTCATCTTCGGGTTTATTGTACTATGTATTATTAATTATAGGATTTATAAAAAATGGTGCAGGCAATTCTTGTGCAATCAAAAGTTTTACATAACATCGTAGAAAACTTCAGATGTGGAAAGAAATCAATAAGTGAGGCACATGTCGAGTTGAACATTGACTGACATTATTTGTTCCCATACATGTTTTATTTAAGGAGGCTCGAGGGTATAAATTCATTTTTTTTTCTAAATATAGGATTTCGCTATTATTTTGTATAAATGAATTTTATCATATACTTAATAGAAAAATAGAATAAAACAATGGGGTCACCGTTCATTTAAGCTCACAATCTGCCTTCGAACGAAGCATGCGTTTTTGTTAAGGTACTTTTGTTCTGTGGGAGAGATAGAAATTATATCGAAATAAAAAAGAAATCGGTTATATTTTACAATTGTTAAGTCTAGGTACAGTTTATTTGAAAAAAAATGATAAAAAATATAGGTCACCGTTGAGTTTAAAAAGATAGTTCAATTTTATTGCAAAAAATGGCATTTTTGCACCAAAGGGAGATAATTTGGAGCTTTTTCAATGATATAAACATTTTAAAGGTCATCTGGGGTCAAAACAAATTGATTTGTTTGGTTGATTTTTGTTCCATATCATAAAGTAACAACTAACAGTGTAATAAATCAAATTTGTAATGAAAAACAAATGTTTAAAATTTTGCTGAAATTTTTGTATATAAGAACTCTATTTGTTGGCGACAGGAAATTGAAATTCACTTCAACTATAGTGTCTTCATTTATTGTGCCAACCGGACTAACTGAAATCTAATTTTTTGCCAATGACATTATACTAGTATATCTTGTGGTTAACAATATTGTAGCCCTGTAACTGTAAAAAACAATTCGCAATAGTCCCTTAATAATTTCCATACCGCGTTAACTGATTCATCTTCTACATTTCGGGTATAAATGTTTTTCAATACAAGTAAATCCATCCGTTGTTTCTGTTATGGGAACCTCCTATCACTGCAAGTGGCAACGCATATTTTCCTGGCGTCCATCCACAGGTCACCGCCACTCTGTCCTTTTGTATTAAAATGTGTTTATGTACCTTATCAATCGTCAAAGTGATGAACTTATATAACTAAATAATATAGGACAATGTTGCTGATTTAAAATCACACCATTCTGGCCATTTTGTTTTCCACATAATTAATATAAACATTAATCACCAAGTTCCTGGTCGAGTCCAAAAACGATATCAATAGTATATGCCACATGAAGTTTACGGTTGTATTTAAAAAAACCATGACAGAAAAATTTTGAAAGCAGAGAAAACTGTGCATCACAGAATCAGCATGACTTTATCACATGATAATACGAATACTTAACATTCAAACCAAAAATAAAGGCTTAGGTATTTTAAATGAGTCAGAGACACAGTCACTGTGTTTTAGTAGTTTTATGACATGGCATACACTAACTTGGTTTAGAAAGGTGCATATGTATTACAAAAATACATAAGAACCTGATTGACCAAATTTTGATATTAGGATAATAAGGTTTAATTTGGATTATGCTACAGCAAGGTTATTATGAAGTAAGATTGTTATCCTGATTTCAAATGTTTTATAGTCGCCTTTATGTGTTAATTGAGTTATACGCCTAATACGAAGATCGGAATTCTAAAAAAGAAATGTGTACTTTTATAAATCCTGCAGTGTTAACTGTAC